CGTTCTACGAATTCTTGGCGAGCATGAATACGTATAATGCCCGCAAAAAGGGTGGGTGGGGCGTAGGAGAGGGGGCAGCAGGGCAGTAAATTGTACGTGTCGTTACATTCAAGTTTCCGCTCGAGAGAGGAGGATTTGTTGCTGGCGCCTGGTGTTCCCTCGTCTCTCTTCCCTCCATCTACTTCTCACTCTCTCTCTCTCACTTCTTTCTTCTTTTTATTTTAATATTTTAATGAGGCACGTGCACGGGTGAGAAGTTCCAGAAATTATATATGCAAATCGTGGGACGAGGCTTTTAAAACACGGAGACGGATGATTTCGAGTAAACTTCATGCGATAGCGCGCTTTTTACCTCTCGTCCACTTTGTTACACGCGCGTTTGATGCTCTATTTTCGTTTGTCCCTTCTTTTTTCTCTTTTCCAGCCACGTACGCCGGGAAAATGAATTGAATCGTGCCACACGGCGTACGATAATTATAGAAACGAATTCTTCCCTCTCCTTCTCTCTCATTCTTTTTTTATTTTTTCCTCGTCGGTTCGCTCGAAGCATGACTGATTGCTCGCTGTCAGTGGATGGATCTCAATGGGATTCATTATTTTCAGAAAACTTCGGTTCCCGCGTCGTTCGCACGGTAGACTGGTTAAATCGGATATCCGATGAAAATCAGCAAACCAATTTACCCGGTATGCCCGAACGATCTTTCGGCTGATCAATCTGTTTCGGACACTCGAATTAGCCGTTTGCATGAATTAATTCACGCGTGCGTGAAGTGCTCCCGCGCATTTTATTGGCGCTATCGCGTACCTACGCAAAAAAATACTTTTCACGGTTTCTTTACCAGAGCGACAGATAAATACTGAATTATATTTCCTGTTCGTTGGAAAGGGTAACTCAATGGAACTCGGAGTACTCTAACTCAATGGAACTCAAAGTACTCTAAAGAAAAGAATACTCCAACCCAATGGAACTCAAAATACTCTAACTCAATAGAACACAGAGTACTCTAAAAAAAATGACTATAACTCAATAGAATTCAAAATCCTCGAAAGAAAAAAATACTGTAACACAATGGAACTCAGAGTACTCCAACTAAATAGAACTCAAAATACTCTAACTCAATAAAACTCAGAGTACACTAAAGAAAAAAATACTGTAACTCAATGATAGAATTCAAAATCCTCGAAAGAAAAAAATACTGTAACACAATGGAACTCAGAGTACTCCAACTCAATAGAACTCAGAATACTCTAACTCAATGGAACTCAAAGTACTCTAAAGAAAAAAATACTGTAACTCAATGAAACCCAAAGTACGTATTCTAAAGAAAAAAATACTGTAACTCAATGGAACTCAGAGTACTCTAACTCGAGAGAACTCAGAATACTCTAACTCAATGGAACTCAAAGTACTCTAAAGAAAAGAATACTCCAACCCAATAGAACTCAAAATATTCTAACTCAATGGAACTCAGAGTACTCCAACTCAATGTAACTCAAAATACTCTAATTCAATAGAACTCAGAGTACACTAAAGAAAAAGATACTGTAACTCAATGAAACCCAAAGTATGTATTCTAAAGAAAAAAATACTGTAACTCAATGGAACTCAGAGTACTCTAATTCAATAGACCTCAGAGTACTCTAAGGAAAAGAATACTCTAACTCAACGGAACAAAAAATACTCCGAGAAGATAATATCAGAGGCTACTTTCAAAGGCTATTAAAGAAAGAAAAGATAAGCTATCCGAGAAATCACGTGGTAACAATATCATCCTCCCCTCGCACGCATAATCAGCGCGTGATTGGCCTTTTGTCAGTTCCCGCGGGCTTTTGATTTCCTCGTAATTAAATCGTCAGATTGGCGACACCGTTGCGCGGATATAATCCAGCGACTCATCTCTCGAATGCAAGACACCGGCGAAATCCAGCATGGCGAAGGCGAAACCGGAGGAAATTAATGCGAACGAAGCGTCGCTTCGGAATGGACGCTGTGTCGTTAGCGCGTAGTGGTGCGCTCAATTATTCATAAAGTCGTTACCGGACGGTCCGAAACAGTGGAACTTTCGAAATGCACCCTACTCTCTCTCTCTCTCTCTCTCTCTCTCTCTCTCTCTCTCTCTCTCTCTCTCTCTC